TAAATGTCTAAAGGTGTCTTTTCTACTTGTGGGAAGAAAACCGAGAATCTCCATTCTCTCCTCCAGGGAGAAGGGCTGTCTTTGCTCCCTTTGCCCTTGATTTGGGCCAACCTGGAAACCTGGTATTCTCCAGTATACTTGCCATGCTTGGAAGTCGTGTCACCAGGAATGACAGAATTAGCAAGATCAGGATCACTTAATTCTCATATTTCCTGTGTGCCTTTCTTTGCATCGCTAAATACTCATTGATTCCCTTGCAGTCTTGCTCGTCTAAATTCTTGGTGTATAGTCTAGGGTGTGCTGTTCTACGATGGTGCCTAAAGATCCCTGATAGTCCAGTTTTGTAGTTGGGAGAACTGATAGTTGGTTTGTAGAGATATATTGCCAGAGAGATAGAGCTGATTGGCATAGCAACTTCTTCTATTCAGGGCTATTTACTTATTTGCATAGAATATTTCTATTGTGCTTTTCCATGGAATACTGTCCAAAGCATCGAACAACAAAGATAAAACAATAAAAATCTTGCAATTAGTTTGAAATCATTACAGTTATGTCAAATTCCCACAATACCATTATCATCAATTAAAAAAAAAACCCCTAAAACCAGTAATGTAAAAACTTGCAGACAGTGGGCAGCGGACAAGGAGAGATGTTTTCACCTGGCATTTAAAAGCTTGTAAGGTAGGTGCCAGATGAGCTTTAAGGGGGAGGGCATTCCACAGTAGGGGAGCCACCACCAAGAAAGCCGTGTCCCAATTGCCATTTGCTTGAATTTTGAAGGCAATGGTACCATCAGCAAACTTTGCGATAATGATCTTAGCTGGCAGGTGGGAAAATGCAGTCCTTCATTTATCCTTTATTTTCTCCTTTTTAATCCTAAAAAGATCCCCTAGGCAATTTAGAGTATAAAAGACCAATCATCCTATTAATAAAAATGTACAATGAAAACATAAAAACCCTGTAACATTTGTTATACAAACCTACAGAGAAAGGGTTGTGGAAGATAGCAGCTTGTGGAAAGGACACAAAACCTTTGCAGCTCAGTTATTTGGGCTTCTGTAATTCCTGTTGCTTAAAGAATTCCTACTGCTGATAAATAGTTATTTTAAAACCATTCTATGTAAGTCAGATCTGCCTTCAATCGACACTAACATTGCTTCCTTAATAGGTTCAGCGTTGACGAAGGTCAAACTTGGAGCACTCATAACTTCACCAGTACATCAGTTTTTGTGGACGGGCTCCTCAGCGAACCTGGTGACGAGACATTAGTCATGACGTAAGTACTATTAGGAGCTGCGGTGGCTCAAGTGGTTAAGACGCTGAACTGCAGGCTGTGGAAGGTCAGTAGTTCAGCAGTTCGAGACCTGAGTTGCCGCATGACGGAGTGAGCTCCCGTCTCTAGTTCCAGCTCCTGCCAACCTAGCAGTTCGAAAGCAAGAAATTGCAAGTAGATAAATAGGTACTACTTCAGTGGGAAGGTAACAGCGTTCCGTGCGCCGTGGTGTTTAGTCATGCCGGCCACATGACCACGGGAACGTCTTCGGACAGCGCTGGCTCTTCAGCTTTGAAACGGAGATGAGCACCGCAACCCTAGAGTCGGACTCGACTGGCTTCCGAGCAAGGGAACATTTACCTTTAAGTACTATTTAGTGCATGGCATGCAAGCAGCATAGGAAGAATTGAAAGATGCTATACGTGGAGGGTATATGACAAGGACGGTGTGCATGTGAGCTGACCCTAAAACACAGGCATCGAACGGATAACCAGTTATGGCATGAGACTTTCATAAGTTGTGTGAAGACTTCAGAACTCAGCATGGACTTTTCAGAAAGTTGAATTTTGGTGCCATGGTTGCCACAGATGAGTTGATTACTAGAAACCTTGGACAATGGGATGCACCCCTACACACTCTCTCTTGGAAAGCAGAAGAAAGTTTGTGTCCAGTGGAACCTTTAAAAGACCAACAAAGTTTAATTCTGGGTATTCGCTTTCATGTGCATGCACACCTAGAATCAATCTATGCTGGTCTTAGAGGCAGGCCCATAGCCAGGGTTAGGGTCAGGGTTTTTCCCCAGGGGGCATTTAGATTATTAAGGGGGCAGTTAACTTATAGTTAATTACATTCAACCGAATGCCTGTCTTTAAAGGGGGAGGCTCCAAGCCTGTTTCTAGGCATTCCTTTCAAGGGACAGGGCTAGGCTTGCCAAGTCTCCCCGGGGGGCGGGGAACCCCCCGCCCCAGAGGCCCGTTCCCCGCCGCCGCCAGATCGGGCCCCAGGGGGAATTCCATCCCGACGTGCACGTCACCAGGAAGTGACGCGATCACGCCGGGCACCCTAGGGGGGGGGGCACAATCATCCTAGGGAAAACTCTATGGTTTTCCCTCGGATGGTCATAGCCCCGCCCCCAGCGTGCCCGGCGTCATCACGTCACTTCCTGGTAACGTGGATGCGGCGCGTGTGTGCTTT